AGTGGTATGACCGCGGATGCTGCATTTTGTGCACATCAGTTTTTCCTTTGGCAGGGTACAATCCCTGACATCATGTTGACCGCTACACTTCCTGCACATGAGGATGGGGCACTCTTTAACATAGTGCCCTCCGTCGCATCTGAAGCAACGGATTGGCCTCTCATTGTTGAGGACATTTACTTGGTTTGAGTTTACAGCTGCATGTTGACTCGGTATTCTCGTGTGGAACTGTAGAGCAGTGTCTTGGAACATGTGAAACTGGAACGGAATTGATATCATGTATCCAGCTAATAACTGCGAGAGCAGTTTAGACCTGAGCCAGGAGATTACAGTCTGAACAATCTTCAGGGCATTATTTAACGTCCAACAGACGGCCGGCCCGAAACCATCTTCACCCAGGCATCTGATTCGTTCCAGGTAAACAGGAATGGACTCGTTTTGAGAATGCGACACACTGCTGTAAATGCTCTGCAGTGCAATTTCGGAGTGCGACGGAGATCCATATAGGATACAAATGATCCTCAGCAAATCTATGAATGTGAAGTCCTCTGCACCAGCCCTCTCCCCGATACCCATGGAGAGGATTCTATCCTTTGTTGAATCAGAACATGTGTTCCAAAGTATGGCTAGTCTTGCCAATCATCCTGTGACGAAAGAGGAATCGAAAATTCTTGTAAATTTTATCCTCCAGGATTTCATGGACAGTGTAGAGAAATCATTTTGCACCAGTGTACTGTTCACCTTGGAGATCAGTTTTGCTTCCTCTCCAACAATTGTGCTGAACGGGAATCCACCCAATCTTCTTGTTCAAGAACCGTTGGGTCAACCTGATCCACCGCCGTTTTCAGCTGCAACGCCTAATTCAGTTGAGCTTCTGATATTTGAGCTTCAGTCTGGAATTGAGACAGGACTGTTTTTCTGAACTTCTCAGAGATCTGTACATCCTCCGAGGTCAGAGCTGCCTCCAGTTTGATCGATTCTGCCGCAATCACATTCACAGGATTCACGTCAGCTTGTTTTTCCGTGAGCCAACGCGTGAACCAAAGCTTCACTTCTGCCTCCATTATGCCCGGTGGGGCAGGATCCGATGAACTCATTCTAAACAACGAAAAAAATTATACATAGGAAACATAAACATTTTTCGCGCTGTCAAATTTTTCTCTACTAACACTGGAAAATAACCCCTTACACTGGCCTGTCGGAGTCATACTGCGTGTTTATTTAATGGTCAGAATGGGAGTTTATTAATTGTCATTTTTACCTTTGTTCCACTTAGAACATGCACAATGAATGGGAAATTGTGAAAGTCACTTTCTGGAAAAATAAAAACAATTAAATTTATAAATCCCAATGCCGCGTACGGTTTTCTGACAGAATATTCTTTAGTCGTCTTTGTTTACTGGTTAGTGGTGAACCGATATACAAAAGCGGCTAGGTCCGTAATCGAAACAATCTAGCGAAATGGACTTTATTAAAGGCGTACTCGAAAATTTTGGCATGTCACCATATAAACTTGAAGAGAAACTCAATATAAAGAACTCAATAAAGGAAACTTGACAAAGAGAAACTCAATTTAACAAGCCAGATTGAAACGATTAAAGCACTAACTTTGCACGGACATTTATTTTACATTATTATTAAAATATAAACTGAGGATCAACCGAAGTTAATCCTGGAATCATAGATGGAGCTAATTCTCCTCCTGGAGCTACTGGAGATGTTATCGACCGCTCTCCTCTGATACTTAATCAAGACTACCTCTCTTCTGGGGTACAAAATGGACGTTCAGTTTGCTTTCTCTGCCGACGAAAGCACCGTTATCCGTGTTCCCCAGATAAGGGTCACCAGGGTTTGAATCTCATCCCTCTGGAAAATTCCTCTCCTCGTTGGTAACAGATGCAGAGTAACGGGTTAAATCATTATTATTTGTTTGTCCAGTTCTCAACTCATGATAAAGTTTGGCTTGGGTTGAATGAACTAGGATACAATCTTCAACGTATATGCATTTCTGGATGGGTTTACAGTAAACCCTTCCTGGGAAAAAAACTGAATACGCCTCTCTTCTTTAAAACTTTGTCTAGTTCTCACTTTTAAATCTGTCAAAATACAAAAGTGAAGACCAAGATATATATTTCGATGATCTTCATTTTTCGGTATCACAAATTGTGCATTCCTTGTTTTACAGATTATGCATGCAGGCATTATTGTGCTGTCTGAAATTATTTATTTTGCAGCAAAAATAAATCTTAGTTTACGTTAATATATATTTAAGTTAAATACAAATTCTAAGTCTGAGTTTGTAAACAAAGAGAGTCCAGTTTCTGTTGTACTGTGCACTCCCGGCCATGCACTCTGTATATATGTATTTTTTTAAATACTTGTGACATAAAATGTCGTCTTCCAACTATGAGTTTGGCCCACTTTAGTATTTATCACTTTGCATTATACCTCCTTCCAGAAAAGGTCAAACTTTCGTAAATATCTTTTTTCCCCTAACCTAACCTGCTGCATTGTCTATAACAAATGAAAAATGTTATCATGTAAAAAAAAACTTCAACTTAAATTTTCAGAGATCAAGAGGATTCAAAAAAAAAGATTTTGCAAAAAAGGAGGGGAACCTCAGAGACACATAAAACTGGTAATTAAGTCCTGAGAGCTTCCCTGGAATTTCTCGAAATAAGTTTCTTGTTCTTTTCTCAGGAATTTCTATGAAATTTGAAAGATGTTCTTGGGAAATTCTCCGAAAGTCTCTTTTTCAGTTCCATAAGATTGGTGAACAAGTCCTGAGAATTTCTCATAAATATCCTGAGAAATGTTCAGCACTGCACGTTACAAAATCTCTGCGCAGTTAATGCATGCAAGTAAAATCCACATGCGTTAGAAACCCTATATAGTATCTACAATTGGTTTAGGGAGTTTCCCCAGGATTTTGACCTTGAGTTGAGAACGAGGAGTGTGATGCATATATGTAATCCATATTTTCAATTTAATTCACATTTTCAATTTAATTCATTTTAATCCATATTTTCAATTTAATCCATATTTTTAATTTATTCCATATTTTTAATTTAATCCATATTTTCAATTTAATCCAAATTTTCAATTTAATCCATAGTTTCAATTTAATCCAAATTTTCAATTTAATCCATATTTATAATTTAATCAATATTTTCAATTTAATCCATATTTTCAATTTAATCCATATTTTCAGTTTTATCCATATTTTTAATTTACTCCATATTTTCAATTTAATCCATAGTTTCAATTTAATCCATATTTTCAATTTAATCCATATTTTTAATTTATTCAATATTTCTAATTTAATCCATATTTTCAATTTAATCCATATTTTCAATTTAATCTTTTTTTCAATTTAATCCGTATTTTCAATTTAATCCATAGTTTCAATTTAATCCATGGTTTCAATTTAATCCATATTTTCAATTTATTCCATATTTCTAATTTAATCCATATTTTCAATTTAATCCATATTTTCAATTTAATCCGTATTTTCAATTTAATCCATTTTTTCAATTTAATCTGTTTTTTCAAGTTAATCCATATTTTCAGTTTTATCCATATTTTTAATTTAATCCATAGTTTAAATTTAATCCATATTTTCAATTTAATCCATAGTTTCAATTTAATCCATATTTTCAATTTAATCCATATTTTCAATTTAATCCATATTTTCAATTTAATCTGGTTTTTTTCAATTTAATCCGTATTTTCAATATAATCCATAGTTTCAATATAATCCATAATTTGAATTTAATCCATAGTTTCAATTTAATTCATATTTTCAATTTAATCCGTATTTTCAATTTATTGCATAATTTCAATTTAATCTGTTTTTTCAATTTAATCCGTATTTTCAATTTAATCCATAGTTTTAATTTAATCCATATTTTCAATTTAATCCATAGTTTCAATTTAATCCATATTTTCAATTTAATCCATATATTCAATTTAATCCATATTTTCAATTTAATCTGTTTTTTCAATTTAATCCGTATTTTCAATGTAATCCATAGTTTCAATATAATCCATAGTTTCAATGTAATCCATAGTTTCAATTTAGTTCATATTTTCAATTTAATCCGTATTTTCAATTTAATTCATATTTCAATTTAATCCGTATTTTCAATTTAATCCGTATTTTCAATTTTATCCATATTTTCAATTTAATTCATATTTTCAATTTAATCCGTATTTTCAATTTCATTCATATTTTCAATTTAATCCGTATTTTCAATTTAATCCGTATTTTCAATTTAATCCGTATTTTCAATGCCAATTTACTATGGAAAATTCAAACCCTTGAAAATAAAAGGGACCTCTCATGCAAAGATGGTAATGCCAATTCACAGCAGTACCCTAAAACCTTTATCTGAGCAAAAAAGTGGAAAATAATTTAATTTTTTAAATTTCTAGGTTTAAAATATATTATTTCTAATCATTCCTACATGTTTTTCTGCAACAGAAATGCGCAAGTCATTTTTGTAGTTATACCACAATTGAAAATAATCAGCTTTCAAAATTATAAACATAGATATCTAATTTATGCTTGGGCAGACAAAACTTTTAACCGTTGTGGACCAGGCACATGCACCATCACTTTAAATTATTATCCTTACTGTCCCTGTGGATGTAAAACAAAATGTTGGACAATATTAACTTGAAACCAATGTTTGCATAACAATTTTCAAGGCCTTATAATATTGACTACAAAGGAATTGAGTTTTGGCCACCAACTCTGATTTTCTAACCCCTATATCTTTGGATTCAAATGTCGTAGACCTTAGATAGTTCGGACTTTGAATTTCGTTAGATCAATTAATATAAGTTTGAAATTTTAAAGATTTACGACATTAGGTTCCAAAGATGTAGGGATTTTAAAAGCTGGTGGCCAAGACTCAATTCCTCAGTTTCTAAATGAGCTATAAGAGAAAATTAATATCATCTCTAGAAAGGAAGAACACGGAATAAGATTAAAAAACTTACCGAGGTTGGTGTGGTCTGACTCCTCTGAAAATAAAACATTAAAGTTAAGTTTCGTAATGTATAGTTCAAGATACAGTGAGACTGTGAAATAGGAAGACGACATTTAAACAATCGTATTTGTATTTGTATTTGTCCCTCGAAACATGACAGTTGGTGAATAATTTAAAATGGCTTCTTCCATAGTGTGTTAAGTTGTTTGATACCAAGAAGAAGGTAATGTTGATCCGCTCTACTGCCCATCCATCCTATTGCCCATCCGCTATACTGCCCATCCGACCTACTGCAACATCTGACCTACGACAGCTGTAGGTCGGATGGGCATATCTTCTTGCCCATCCGACCTATCAGCAGCTTTTGTCATATGCCTATAGCGCAAGGGTATGAAATAGTTAATTGTAGCGTCGGACAGCCACTCAATTTTGTAGGTCAGATGGGCACTTTTGTAGGGCGGATGGGCATTTTTCGTAGGTCGGATGGGCAAGACCTCAAAAAATGCCCATCCGACCTACGAAAAGTGTCCATCCGACCTACGAAAAGTGCCCATCCGACCTACGAAAAAGTGCCCATCCGACCTACGAAAAATGCCCATCCGACCGACGAAAAGTGCCCATCCGACCTACGAAAAGTGCCCATCCGATCTACGAAAAATGCCCATCCGACCTACGAAATATGCCCATCCGGTACCTACAAAAAAGGCCCGTCAGACCTACTAACGTGTCCAAGCGACAGCTTAAAGTAGGTCGGATGCACCAATATGCTGTTTTTAACGTGCCCATCCGACCTACAGTGCATCGGACCTACCACAGCTGTTAAAACCACGTGGTTGTAGGTCGGATGGGCAGTAGAGGGGATGGGCGTAGGTCCAAAAATACACCATCCAAGAAGAATACTAAAAAATATTTCAGGGCTGCAGTCATATTATAGTAAAATGGATTTCAAAGTAAAATATATTTCTGCAGTAAAAGATAAACTGCAAAAAGTCTTTGATATCTAATACAGTACATGGAAGAAGACATTCAAATGTCATGTTTTGTGGGACATCCTGTATTTAATGTTATGAAAAGGTCGTCTTTATCTCCACCACATCATTATATAGATATACAATATATATATATACCTATATATATATACAATATTTAATGATTTAAAAAAAAACTTGAAGTTTTCTAGGTTCCATTTACTAAACAATCTACCCTGGTTAAAAGGTTTAATAGTTCAAAGACTATACATTATAATTATAATAATAATAATAACTAATTAGTTTGCAATAGGAATTCAGAAAACTAAAACCTTCCATAACTTCTGCTGCATGTACTCACCAGGTTATTCAAAAATTCATATTCCATAAATACATCAATTGCTTCTTCATTTTCAACATTTTCAAGGGAGGATATAACAACCTAAGATAGAAAATTAGATAAACCCTCATCCTGGTTGGGCCATTTTTGTTCTACAAGATTTGAGGGAGGGGGGTATCTAGGGATGGGCATCATCTTTAAAAACAAAGAAAAAACGAGTCACGGAAGTTCATAGTAAGATTTTTACTCCACTGGAGACCACCGGAGAGAATTATTTTTCTGGAGGGGTTTGAAAAATCGCTTTTTACATTTTAAAACTTTACACAGGGTGATTTACATTCCACTGGAGGGATTTTGATATCTATCCAGGGGGTTTATAATTTCACTGAAGGGATTCAGATATCCATCCTAGGGGTTTAAAACTCAAATGGAGGGATTCAGATATCCTTCCAGGGGGTTTTAAATTCCACTGGAGGGATTTAGATATCTCAATAGGGGTTTTATAATTCCACTGGAGGGATTCAGATAACCTTCCCTCCAGTGGAATTATAAACTCCCAGGATTGATATCCAATCCCTCCAGTGGAATTATAAACTCCCAGGATTGATATCCAATCCCTCCAGTAGAATTATAAACTCCCAGGATTGATATCCAATCCCTCCAGTGGTATTATAAACTCCCAGGATTGATATCCAATCCCCCCAGTGGAATTATAAACTCCCAGGATTGATATCCAATCCCTCCAGTGGAATTATAAACTCCCAGGATTGATATCCAATCCCTCCAGTGGAATTATAAACCCCCTGGATTTATCTGGGGGGCAATCCTCAATCATTGTTATTTAATGTTTCCTAAAAGTCTTCAAAATGCTCGTGCAAACCTTTGAAGTTGGCCTGGTCTTAATAGTTAATATAGAGGCAATGNGGGGGGGGCGATCAACATTGGGAGTCTGGAAAAATTCATCACTGATTGACAAAACTGATTCTTTGGTGTATATTTTTCATACGTTTAAATACCATTTTATCATTTTAAAAAACTTCCATTTTGTCCTTACAATGTTTATCAAAGAAAACTTGCTGGAGTGTCCGGCGTTGCCCGTAGAATTTTTTTAACAAAAAAATTCTGATTTTTTCTAGTTTATGTTACCCCTAGGTTACACAAATATCCCGAAAAATATTTATGCCCATTCGGTCCAGCCGTTTGGCAAGCTATAGCTGACATATAAATGTACATATACATTCAAACGAATATATACTTATTTAAATATATGAGCGAGGAGCTTTATGATATAGAAGAAGTATGGATCCAGGAAACATGTAAAACTAAACAGGAAGTACAGGAAGTACATGTACATACATTGACGCTTAGAACTCCTTTATCGGCTCAATACAATTCATACTTTATCTAACTTCATTTTTATTTCCTACTCTATGCTACCAGTACTTAAAAAGGATGTAAGCATAATTTCAAGTGACCCTCTATACAAAGATGGCAATGCCTGATTCGATATGGTACCCTCGAAACCTTAAACTGATCAATCATGTGGATTCGATATGGTACCCTCGAAACCTTAAACTGATCAATCATGTGAATTCGATATGGTATCCTCGAAACCTTAAACTGATCAATCATATGGATTTGATATGGTACCCTCTAAACCTTGGATTGTTGGATTGTTGTGGATTGTTGAAAGTAACGTCGTTTTTCTGACTTGAAAAGCTTTAATTCTGATAATTACTCAATTGTTTATCATAAGCAAGAAATTTGCAAATCACCTTTGCAAAGGGCCCACAAACGAAAATAAAATCGTACAAATATAATAATCATACATTTTATTTATTTTTACCTTTGCAGCTGAACAAATCAAGGTATCAAGAGCGTACTGAAATGCATTACATTGATTTTCGAGCTGGTTGCATTGAAAAGCACAGACCATGTTGCTCCCTACTTTGATCTGCGGTATACAATAAAACATAATTGATCCTTAACAAGAAATAGATTTTTATTATGATTTAAAATCAAAAAGTTATAATAAAATATAAGATAGCAGGATTCCATTGGCATTCATTTACCAATCAATTCAGAACTACAAGTTCTAAAATGTAGATGTTTAGGGATACAAAAAAGTTATTGTTTAAATCTAAATTTAAATTCGACCCGGTCTTCAAAATTGATGCAGTCTGGATGTGTATGGGTTCTTAAATCGTTTTTTATTGTTCCTTTGTCTGGACAGAGGCATCCCAGGTCTTCTTTGAGATTTGATTGGTTCTCTGATAACTCCGCTGGATCAAACTAAAATATAAATAATTACATGGGATAAAAAAAATAAAAATAAATTAGTTGAATAAATGGGTTGGTAAACTTTTCTAGCTGTAAAATGTTTAAAAAAATAAAATTGTGTTTTAAAACCTAAAAATTGCGATTCTGTATAAAAGCGTAACTTCAAGTTATCCTTCATATAAAGATGATAATGGTAACCTTAAAAGATTTGTTTAATGAAGTATGAATTAGAACTCCATGTTTTTGTTTTACAATCTGTATTTTGATTTCTGGTTTCTCTGCAAAAGTGACAAACGGATTAGATACTTTTTGAGTCAGAAAACGACGATATCTTCCACACTTCTGATCAGATAAAGGTTTCAAGGGTACCATTGTAAATCGGGTATTGTCATCTTTGCTTACAGGTTCACTTGAAACTACGCTTACAGTCCCTTTAATAATTAGAATTTACCTTTCTGCTGAAATGTAAGTTTTCAGGAAGTAGATGAGAATAACGCATTGATGCGCTATTCTCGTACGTATCCACATCCTTACCTCACTAGTCACTTCCTTTATATAAGAATTTATTTTATTATACAGGGTGTCCCATAAATTATGGGAATTCACTGACGAATTCGATATCGTCTTTGTTATGAATTAGCATTGTAATACCTGATTTCAAAGGCCATAATATTATTATGTCTGCTAGAGTTTTTTTATGTAAAGGATAGAAGACTGTAAAGATGTGTCTATAATGTCTCCGCAAGATGAACAGTGAAGACGGACAAGTTTACTCTGTTTGTATACTGTAATTTTCATGTTTTACTAAGTACAACCGTATGCAGTCAAAACATAAACAAACAAATTGTGAACATAGCAGACGAAACTCTTACAGATTACAGCTTTCTCAGTAGGTATCACTATAACGATATCGAATTCGTCACTGAATTCCCATGTTTATTGGGACACCCTGTATTTAAACATAATAGGGTTGCTAGGTTAGTATAACACATGATAGGGTTGCTAGGTTAGTATGTACACATGATAGGGTTGTTAGGTTAGTATATACAAATGAGTGGGTTGCTAGGTTAGTATATACACATGATAGGGTTTCTAGGTTAGTATATACACAGGATTGGGTTGCTAGGATAGTATATACACAGCATAGGGTTGCTAGGATAGTATAACACATGATAGGGTTGCCAGGATAGTATATACACAGGATTGGGTTGCTTGGATAGTATATACACAGGATAGGGTTGCTAGGTTAGTTTATACACAGGATAGGGTTGCTAGGTTAGTATATACATATGATAGGGTTGCTAGGCTAATATATAGACAGGATATGGTTGCTAGGATAGTATATACACAGGATAGGGTTGCTACGATAGTATATACATAGGATAGGGTTGGTAGGTTAGTATATACACATGATAGAGTTGCTAGGATAGTATTTACACATGATATAGAGTTGTTATGTTAGTAAGTACACAGGATATGGTTGCTAGGTTAGTATATACTGCACAGGATATGGTTCCTGGATTAGTTGTTTACACACAGGATAGGGTTGCTAGGTTAGTATACACGCAGGAAAGGGTTGATAGGCTAATATATAGACAGGATATGGTAGCTAGGATAGTATATACACAGGATAAGGTTGCTAGGTTAGTAAATAAACAGGATAGGGTTCTAGGTCAGTATATACACAGGATAGAGTTGCTGGGATAGTATATACACAGGATAGGGTTGCTAGGATAGAATATACACAGGATAGGGTTGCTAGGTTAGTAAATAAACAGGATAGGGTTTTAGGTCAGTATATACACAGGATAGGGTTGCTAGGATAGTATATACACAGGATAGGGTTGCTAGGATAGAATATACACAGGATAGGGTTGCTGGGATAGTAATACACAGGATAGGGTTGCTAGGTTAGTTTATACACAGGATAGGGTTGCTAGGTTAGTAAATAAACAGGATAGGGTTTTAGGTCAGTATATACCCGGGATAGGGTTGCTAGGATAGAATATACACAGGATAGGTTGCTGGGATAGTAATACACAGGATAGGGTTGCTAGGATAGTATATACACAGGATAGGGTTGCTAGGTTAGTAAATAAACAGGATAGGGTTCTAGGTCAGTATATACCCAGGATAGGGTTGCTAGGATAGAATATACACAGAATAGGGTTGCTGTGATAGTAATACACAGGATAGGGTTGCTAGGATAGTATATACACAGGATAGGGTTGCTAGGTTAGCTTATACACAGGATAAGGTTGAAAGGATAGTATATACACAGGATAAGGTTGCTAGGATAATATTGTACATAGGATAGGGTTGCTAGGTTAGTATATACACAGGATAGGGTTGCTAGGTTAGTATATACACAGGAAAGGGTTACTAGGCTAGTATATACACAGGATAGGGTTACTAGGATAGTATATAGACAGGATAGGGTTGCTAGGTTATTATATACACAGGATAGGGTTACTAGGTTAGAATATAAACATGATAGGGTTGCTAGGATAGTATATATAAATATATAAACACAGGAAAGGATTGATAGGTTAGTATATACACAGGATAGGGTTAATTGGCTAGTATATACACAGGATAGGGTTGCTAGGATAGTATATACACATGATAGGGTTGCTAGGATAGTACATACATATGATAGGGTTGCTAGGATAGTATATACACAGGATAGGGTTGTTAGGCTAGTATATACACAGGATATGGTTGCTAGGCTAGTATATACACAGGATAGGGTTGCTAGGATAGTAAATACACAGGATAGGGTTGCTAGGCTAGTATATACACATGATAAGGTTGCTAGGATAATATTATACATAGGATAGGAGGTTAGTATATACACAGGATAGGGTTATTAGGCTAGTATTTACACAGGATAGGGTTACTAGGCTAGTATTTACACAGGATAGGGTTGCTAGGTTAGTATATACACATGATAGGTTTGCTAGGTTAGTATATACACATGATAGGTTTGCTAGGTTAGTATATACACATGATAGGTTTGCTAGGTTAGTATATACACAGGATAGGGTGACTAGGTTAGTATATACACAGGATAGGGTTGCTAGGTTAGTATATATACAGGATAGGGTTGCTAGGTTAGTATATACAGAGGATAGGGTTGCTAGGTTAGTATATACACAGGATAGGGTTGCTAGGCTAGTATATATATATATATATATAAACACAGGATAGGATTGATGGGTTAGTATATAAACAGGATAGAGTTGCTAGGATAGTATATACACATGATAGGGTTGCTAGATTAGTATATACACAGGATAGGGTTGCTAGGTTAGTATAAATACAGGATAGGGTTGCTAGGTTAGTATATACACAGGATAGGGTTGCTAGGTTTCTGTTTTCTGCCTATTGTCTCAAATCAAGAACCAAATTTATAACATGTTAATTGAGCAAATCTGACCCTGTTCCTCCGTCTTCTCCAAACCCAGTCCCACGACGTATCACATCAATTCAGTTCTAATTGATACCACGGTAAACTGCCAGGAGACCAACCTGAAAACAGCTCTGCTATGGCTGCTCTCCTTCCGTTGATAATTAATAAACTAATAAATATGTAATTTTTATGCACAAACTGTCATTTTCAACGGAAAAATAAATTATTAGATTAGATTAGATTAGATTAGATATACACAGGATAGGCTTGCTAGGCTAGTATATATATATATATAAACACAGGACAGGATTGATAGGTTAGTATATACACAGGATAGAGTTGCTAGGATAGTATATACACACGATAGGGTTGCTAGGTTAGTATATACACATGATAGGGTTGCTAGGATAGGATATACATATGATAGGGTTGCTAGGATAGTATATACACAGGATAGGGTTGCTAGGTTAGTATATCACAGGATATGGTTGCTAGGCTAGTATATACACAGGATAGGGTTGCTAGGATAGTATATACACAGGATAGGGTTGCTAGGATAGTATATACATATGATAGGGTTGCTAGGATAGTATATATATATATATAAACACAGGATAGGATTGATAGGTTAGTATATACACAGGATAGAGTTGCTAGGATAGTATATACACATGATAGGGTTGCTAGGATAGTATATACATATGATATGGTTGCTAGGATAGTATATACATATGATAGGGTTGCTAGGATAGTATATACATATGATAGGGTTGCTAGGCTAGTATATACACTTGATAGGGTTACTAGGCTAGTATATACACAGGATAGGGTTGCTAGGATAGTATATACATATGATAGGGTTGCTAGGCTAGTATATACACAGGATAGGGTTACTAGGTTAGTATATACACAGGATATGGTTGCTAGGTTAGTATATAGACAGGATAGGGTTGTTAGATTAGTATATACACAGGATATGGTTGCTAGGTTAGTTTATACACAGGATAGGGTTGCTAGGATAGTATATACATAGGATAGGGTTACTAGGTTAGTATATACACAGGATATGGTTGCTAGGTTAGTATATACACAGGATAGGGTTACTAGGTTAGTATATACACAGGATATGGTTGCTAGGCTAGTATTTACACAGGATAGGGTTGCTAGGTTAGTATATACACATGATAGCTAGGTTAGTATATACACAGGATATGGTTGCTAGGTTAGTATATACACAGGATAGGGTTACTAGGTTAGT